CATGTGGGGTGCGAGGGGCAAAATGGACAGCTGCATAGGGTCCAATTTTTTTGGGCAATTTGTTTTTATTATGTTATATGTATATATGTTTATTAAAAAATAATAAAAATAAAAAAACTTATAATAACGATAAAGACCATTTTTTTCTGGATCGTCCAGAGCATTTGAGAAAATTTATATCCTCAGAACCCGGTCTGCCCTATATATATTTCTCCAATAAAATGATAAATAGTTATAGAGAAAGTTTATAGATTCCGTCACTTATCATGGTAATAGCTTTAAACTGGATGAGAGAATATTCTAATGAAAGAATCAAAACGAGTGCTCTCCCTTGCTGCAAGCATATATAGATGACTAGATGGAGTGGCAAATATTGTGTTCCCATTGATCTCCACTAGCTCAATATTTACCACCTAGCTAGGTTAAAGTTTTGCTTTCCCATGTGTATATAAACCAAACCTTGTCCTCCATTGAAGTACACCAAGTTGCTCACATCAGAGATATATAATTATATATATATATATATACACAGAGAAGATAACTACAGTTAGCTACTGAAATGGGGTTGCTAAGAGAAGTCCTGAACTCATCAAAACCATACATAGCCATGGTTGCTCTCCAGTTTGGTTATGCAGGAATGTATATCATAACCATGATCGGCATGAAGCGAGGACTCAGTCACTGGATTCTAGTGGTCTATCGCCATGCCACGGCTACTCTTGTCATTGCTCCCTTTGCGTTTGCTTTTGAGAGGTTGGTTTCTCAAAGGATATTAATTGGGTTTTTTAGAGTCACGTACATACATGCACATGCACATCAGCACATGCAAATGAACACGAACATGTCTACTCTTATGAATTGAAATTAATGAATAGTTTGCTCTAATTTTGCAGGAAAATAAGGCCAAAGATGACACGTTCTGTTTTCCTCAAAGTTCTGCTTCTTGGTTTGCTAGAGTAATTCTTCTGACAAGCCCTTCTTTCTCTCTGATACAAAAAAGACATTCCTATATGAAACGTTACTAGTTAATCATCTTATTTTATGCATTAAACTACCTATAGAATCCAGACAACCCTTAGGTTGTTAATTACCAAGTACAAAGTGACATTAAAATCTGAGTAGCACAGCATATAGTGCATGCATAAAAGGTTCAAGAAAACAAATATCTAAACACGTTAATTGGTTAATTATGTCGCTATACCATTACTAAATATATGATGGAGAAGCCACTGATTTTACAATATAACAAAGTATTGTGTCCAGATCATACATGACTCATGTGGCAATCTTGGCTCTCTCCTATCACTCTTTCCTTGCGTATAAGAATACAATATAGTCCTACCAAGTGCATGTACGTGAAGTATCAATTACCATCAAGCATGTATTTTGCTTTTAAAAGAAAAAGGAAAGAAGTATACGATTTTAATGAGATAAATTATGAATTCACTCACATGCATGCGTATATTTCTATACAACAAAATTATGGCAAGTTTAATTCATTAATAATTGTACCTTCGACTAGTAAATATAGATTTACTTATCGGTTAATTAAGTGTTATTTTTGACAATAATTACAGGCCGGTGATCGATCAAAACTTGTATTTCTTGGGGATGTCGATCACATCTGCAACATATGGCTCTGCGATCGTCAATGTCCTTCCTGCCCTCACCTTCGTACTGGCATTAATGTTCAGGTAACCTTTTCATGAATAATTAAATTCGGACTCTCTAATGATCGATGGAACTAGTTCTTGAATTCTTGATATATAACCTAAACATTTTCTATTATATATGATTGATCAGGTTGGAGAAGGTGAATCTGAAACGTATGCATAGCCAAGCGAAAATAGTTGGAACGGTGATTACATTGACCGGAGCAACGGTGATGACTTTGTATAAAGGACCAATTGTTGACATTCTGTGGTACTCTCATCACGGAGCTACAACCACCCACAAGGCTGCCGCCGCTGCTGCTTCATCGTCCGGCCAACATTATCTCGCCGGCACTATTATGATTCTGATTTGTACCTGCAGTTGGGCCGGATACTTCATCGTTCAGGTATATATCTAACTAACATGTCTTTCATTTACAAAAACAACCACAAAATAAAACATAATTACTTCTGTTCTTATCGATTCAGTCAAGGATTTATTAATCGATAAACTTTTAAAAATACCTTATGCTTTTATATATTTGCTCTTAATTATATATGTAATGTTGATCAATTCATCACATGCATAGTTTTTAACAACACAAAAAAGAATAATAGTTTAATTACTACAAAAATCATATGGTCGCTACTAAATCCAGCAAAAAAAGAAGTTTTTAATAGAAGGAAAAATTAATGGTTTATTACAAAAAAACAGTTACGCTGCTATAAAATAGTAAGGATACTTTATGTATTTTGTCATATAATATTAAGAAAAATACAAAAAGCCTATTTTTATATTATTATTATACATTCATATATAGACCAAAATTTGTTAATAACATATTTATACCCACCTAGTGTATCGGTATATCATTTTAAATAAAAACAGTTTCATGTTGTTCCTTTTGTCAAAAAGTCATCATCTTTATTAGTAATTAACCGATGTTGATTAATTTTCTATGTGCATATACATGCAGTCCATTACGCTGAAAGAGTATCCTGCAGAGTTGAGTTTAACATCATTAATATGTTTAGCTGGTACGGTAGAAGGTGGAATTATAGCCATGATCATGGAGCGTGATCCGAAAGCATGGGCTCTTGGATTCGATTCTAGGCTTCTGGCATCTGTTTATTCTGTGAGTTACTTCTCAAAATTGCCAAATTCCTTTTCCTTTTACCAACCGATTTAAAGCATATGTTTCAATTAGACAAAATAAAACCTGTACAAGAATAAATATATTCTCCTTTGCACTATTAAATGCGTCCCCATTCATGGTTATGGGATCTACTGTGCACTTACTTGTGTACGTAGTACAAGATAAAACATTTTGCATCCAAAAGTCTTCCGCAAAGGTTGGTGTTAGGTACAATTCTCATTCGATCCGTGAATAAACAAACTGATATGTCTTCAACATTTGGTTTCATAACCAACATTGGGATATAAATTATAATATTTTCAAAACAAAAGTTATATCAAGACTTCTACCTATATATAACCTCACTTATATATTATCACCTTTTTTGAACAACAATTGGATTAAAAAGGACCTCTAGCGAGAAGCTAGATCAGGAACAAAGTTTGAGACTATCACCTTCGTCTTGTTGAGGCAAGCATGAATTTAAGACTGTCTACTATACATAGAAAGAAATATTGGAATAGATTTCTTAATATATAAATACAAAAGTATGCAGAATTTTTGGGTATTCAAGTTTGACACGATGTCTATGATTTTCATATACATGAATAAAGCGCTTTAAATTTTCAATATATAATTATCGATCCTAAGAGTTATAATACATTGTTAGGGGGTAGTTTGCTCCGGGATTGCATACTACGTTCAAGGAGTTGTGAATAGGATTCGAGGTCCAGTGTTCGTGACCGCATTCAGCCCGCTATGCATGATCATAACTGCGGTTCTTGGTGCCATCGTTTTGTCTGAGCAAGTCCACCTTGGAAGGTATGATATTTGATTCGTTTAGAGACCAAACTATATATGTCGATCGATTATAGATATTTGTTTCACTAAATCCAATTATGTTTATTAACAGTTTGATAGGAGCCATCATCATAGTGATGGGTCTTTACTCGGTGGTGTGGGGTAAAAGTAAAGATCATCTGTTGGCATCAGGGAAAGGATCGGGTCAAGAATTGCCAACAGTTGACAAAAGCCGTCTTGAGTTGGCAAACACCATGGATGAACCATCCAAGGTTACAATAAAGGATGCAATTCGCCCACAAGATCCTTGATTGAGGATCGCTTTCTATTTTCTATATATAACTATATATTGACTTGTATTTTTGTGTGCCGATTTAGGGTTTCCTCAATCTAAGAGGTGATATTTCCTATAACATATACCCTTTTGTTCAATTGTTTTGATGATGCAATCAAAATATCATGATTGTGAGATATTGTAGAAAAATCAAAAACTTCATCTTTATCTTTCATTAAACGAAACAAAACTTACAATAAAAAACCTTAATATGAAAATCACTTTGCACTCAACAACTGAAACCCTAAAGATCTAAAGAAGATTTTTTTTTTTTAATAACTTACGAGAAAACCCCTAAAATTGGAGACGACAAATCAGAACAAAGAGATAGCGTATTTTATTTACAACATATCTATAGCATACCAATACGACATAAATATTGTGTAATTAATACACATCCAAATGTCACCAATTCTTTCTTCTTCTCAGCTTCCTAGTACAAACCCTTCAATACAATTAGATCTCTCAATGGGGCGGGTTTGGAGCGAATCACCCTTGATCCAAACCCATTTAAAAAATAAAAACATGACCCGCCCCGCTCCAATAACCCTCAGGGTCTATATTAGTCGAAGTCATACCCGTATCCACCGAATCAACGAATACACGACCCATTAACCCGACCCTTTTATAATATTAAATTTTCATAATTTTTATGTGTTCCACAAAGTAATATTTCTCAAAAAAATAAAATGTTTACTTAAACAAGATATACATTAATTAATACTCAACGTCCAATACAATAAAAATCACATTTTACTTAGACATCAAGTTTAATATTTTGTTGCCATATATATATATATATATATATATATATATATATATATATATATATATATATATATATAATTAATGGGGCGGGCCATAAGTGGAGCGGATCGACAAGGATCCATACCCGACCCATTTACTAAAAGGGTAAACGGGTATGGATCGTAAACGGGTAAACGAATCAAAAATTAAAATCCAAACCCGTTAAATTCTTACGGGTTTGGAGCGAATCATGGTCAAAACCCGTTCCATTGACAAGTCTAAATACAATACACCCAACTCCCCTTTCTTATCCTCAAAAGTCCTCCGATGTTAAAGTTAATCACATTCAACCCTTCAACAAATAATTTGTTGTAAATATGACCAAGTTAAAACAAACTTTTTCTACCAATGTTAAAAATTATTTAACACGACTATGTCTTTCACCCCGGCCCTCACCCCCCCCCCCCCCCCCCCCAAGCTTAACATCGAAAACTCAACTTTCAGGAAGGGATCAATAAGACCCATTTCTCTACATAAAGATCATGTTGACCAAAAATCAACTATTTACTATTTAGTAAGAATATCAACATGTTTTCCATAGCAATTTTTACAATTTTTAACATTCCTTATAGAACCTTTTTACGTAAAAAAAAGTACATACACTTTATAATCACTACAAGAAAAAAAAAAAAAATTAGCAGCGACAAAAGTCGTCGTTAAAGGGTAGAGTGGTCGACGTTAAGGCAATAGAGGCAACACGTCGCCAGTACTGTCATATCGCTATTGCTCAAAATTTCACTGGTAAAGATATTCGCCGCCGCTAATACTCGTGTCGCCAGTAATCCCTCTGTCGCCGCTAATAACCTAGTCGTCGGTAATATTATTTTTTATTTTTTTATTTTTTTTAAATCACTCTCTTCGGGTGCAAAAAAACCGATACATAACGACATTAAATGCAGAAAAAAAAATTACATAATGACATCCAATTAGGTACCAAACAGTGTTATAACTTCATACAAATACCAAAATAAACAACAAAAGTGTTATAATTCCAACAAGTACCAAAGTGTCACAGCAAGTCTAACATACAAAACACAAACTAATTATCCGACGAACCATCATCTTCGTTCCCTTCGTTTACTCCTTGATCTTTTCCCAATTGAAAAAACGCATAAAGTTCGTCCCTACATGTCGGGTCGTTGAGCATTGAACGAATATTTTCCAACTACATAATAAATAACAACATATATAAACTTATAAGTTAAACTATCAAACATAAACAAAAACTACCAAAGTACATTGCTATTTTTTGCACTTAAATACAAGAAATACAAAAGGTACATTGCTATTTCTCGCACTTGGGACATAAACACAATTATCAAATCAACATGCATTTATTGATGCCAAATTACATTGCTATTTTTAAATTATGGACAAAAAACCAAAGTGCGTTGTTATTTCTTACACTTGGAACATAAACACAATTACAAACACAAATACCAAATCAACATACATTTATTGATCATTATATAGATATATGAGACTTTGAAATTGAATAGTCTTGTTTTACAAGAAATGATAGCTTACTTTCTACTTATTTTGTGCTAAAAAACCTTAAATACAATAAATAACAATGTACATTCCTATTTCTTGCACTTGGGACAAAAATATAATTAAAAACACAATTACCAAATCAATATGTATTTATTGATGCCAAAGTACATTGCTATTTTAAGACAGGGGATAAAAAACCAAAGTACATTGTTATTTCTTGCATTTGGAACATATACACAATTACCAAATCAACAAGCATTTATTGATCACTATATATATATATATATATATATATATATATATATATATATATATATATATATA